TATAGGTTTGGTGTGACGTATAAGATGCTTTATTTTCTTTGAGTATATACTGTTGATGAGGGTTTTAACCATTCATATATATGACGATCGCTTGTCACTCTCGCATGTGTGGTTGTACTCTGGTGTATGATGAGTTTTGTGTGGAGGATGTGTGTGACAAACATCTGCTGTATTATTGATACTATGAGTATGATTGTAAGTAAAACTGTCTACTCCTCGGTAAACTTGTGCGGCCTGCCCACGGCAGCTGATAAGGCAGCGTATAAGATGAGGAAGCGCAGTCCGTCTGTGAAAGTTATCTAAGTTATGATGAGGACCCATAAGATGGTCTCTCAGTGATGTTCTGTTTTGTGAAGGGACCCCCTTAGATTTTGGAAATGGGGGGATGTTTTGTGATATTTTGTGATGTGACGAAACCCCTCGTGACTTTGGAAGAGGGGGTGTTTTGTTTATAATGAGGCCCTCATGATTTCTGGAAGAGGGAATGTATTGTTTTATGGCGAGAACCCTCGCAATTTTTTGGAAGAGGGGGTGTTTTTTTATTTATGATGAGAGCCCCTTTTTGGATTGTTGGAAAGGGGGACTGGTTTTTGGTTGAAAGACTCACCTTTGAAAGTGAGTAAATTGATTTATGGCATGGTGAGTTGTTTAATGGATAGTAAAGTCTGACGAAAAGAGTCACYTTTGTTTAGAATGTTTGAGAAAGTCGCAATGAGTGCAGGGCAAGGGATGTCTCATAATGGGTGACTGCTGGCTCTGATCAAGTCAGAGGTCACGGCCTGGTGGACCTAGCGGTGATTTTGTTTGTGAGCGTGCGAAGGATGCCAGACCTATTATGGAAGGGTTGGTAATTGCCTTCAGACCCCTGCGTTATCACGCAGTGGGCCAGTGATTTTGTTTTGCGACGCTCCGTCTAACCGCCTGTGCTAGTTCTGGGACATATTGAAGGAAGGCCAAGCTAACGGAAAAGAAGTTAGTACCTCTAGGGCGTAACYCCATTGGATGGCTGCTAGCCGGCGCAACCTGGCTGCGGGACCGCGAGGTAAGAGTTTAAGGGGGGTTGCCCGCCCCAGAGAAATTACTCCGCGGGATAATAATGGTTGAAAATTTTTTGGGGGAAATCCTGATTGAGTGCTTACCA